TGATTTCTCTCTATTGGTCGTTTCCTTGACTCTTTTTTTTTTTAAAGATTTATTTATTTATGCATACAAGAACTGGGGTACAGGCTAGAGATGCAGGGGGTGAGAGGCTCACCAGAGACAGAGTCGGGAACAGAACAGGCAGACTGATCGAAATACACTGCTGAGGGGAGCAGCGGGCGAGTCAGAGAGGTCTGCTGTGCCGTGTGGGTAGCTCCCTGGCTGGCCGGGGATCGAACTTGTGCTGCAGAGGCTGCAGATTGCTTCATAGTGCAGTGTTAAACCCCTTGCGCCACCAGGCAGGCCCCTCCTTGACTCCTCTGATGAGTCTTATCTTTCTGGTGATTTATGGATAAACAAGTCAATTACATATTCCAGATGGGGTTCTTACGTCATATTTAAAAGACCTACAGAGACTATAGGCCACAACTTACTAAGAGTAGAAATCGCTATTGACATGATAAAGTATAATTTTCAAAAAATTAAAGTCATAATTCAAATAAATATTAAAAAACATTTATTGGACATTTTGTTTACCTCATTAACTATTGAGCAAACCAGTAAAATGTTAAGACCCATTCCAAGAAAAATTTGAAAAAAAAAAAAAAGATATGTATAGGCAGAAATGCTAAAATGAATTTGCGAATTAATGCAAAAACAGTGTCCTCTAGGGCAATGAAATATGTTGTTTGGGGAACCTTCTCTACAAGGTAGAAATTGATTGCATCTCAAGCAAACAAAATCCTTCTGCCTTGTTCTTACAGCCCCAAGGGGGCTGGCCCATTGGGGAGTCAGGGGCCACCCCACAGAGGCAGATAATCTGGGGATGGTGATCTCATGCCTCCAAAGCATACCCAGTGACCTATGGTGCCCGTTCCAAGTCTTGGGCAACTTTTCCTGACTTAGGTTTAAGTGTGCCCGCCCTATGAAGAAAGTAATTTCATGGAAATAACCTAATGATTCAAGTGAATTCAAACAGCTGCTGATGTTCAGATATTTTTTTCAAGTTCACAGCAAGGTGCCTGGACAACCCACATTATGCTGTTAAGAGTCGGGAACCTAAAAGTGGCTAATTCAGATTGTCATGTGCCCTATGGGTGTAGTTCATCCAGACTCACCTGCCAGGAGGTGGCATGTGAGCTCATAGCCACGTCTACTGGCCTGGGCAACGAAATGGTGAGATGGGGCTAGGCGGGCAGCAGAGTGCAGGTGGGGTGCCCTGTGAGATTGTGTTTTAAAAACATTTCTGCATGTTTAAACTCAGTGCCCTGTTAAGAGGGTGGGTCCTTGTGAGCTAACATCAGATTAACCTGTAGCCACAGGCCCTCGGGGGCAATGCAGCAGGAGGTGGGACTCAGGGTACTAGCCCACTGTCAGCACCACCCCCTCAGTGAGCCGTGCAGGCCCCTAGGGAGACCAGAGTCCCCTCCACAGCCATTGCCTGGAGCTGCCATCTTCCTTTTGGTGAAGATAGTCATGATGAGACTGGCCTCTTTCGGTTGTACGTTCTGAAAATAAAGATCATTTTAATTAAAATAAAAAAATCTGTTGCAGAGTATTCCAAGTCTGCAAACAGAACGAAGAAAATATTCATATTTTTCTTCCCCTGCCCCTGGCCTATCAAGAATCATCAAGGACCATCTTTGCCATGTGTCCCAGCTAACAGGAGACGCCCTGCAAACCAGTGGCTTCCGTACTGGAGCTACCTCCTTTGCCTGTACCCCCTTTAGAAATGAGAAAAGAAACCCAGCAGCTTTCACATTGCCAATTTTCTCTCAGTTCTCCACACCTCTCCCACCTCCCCACATTTCCTCCCACTTAGCAACCAAGAATATTGAATGTGAGAGAAAAAAAATAGCAGAATTGGAAAGCTTTTTAAAAAGACTTAACCAAATGCCTGGGCTTTGCCTGCACTTCCTCTGTTTCCTGAAGAATCGTTCAGGACCAGGACAGGAGGCACTCCGGTAGGCCTCAGAGACTGGATGGGGGCTGGGGGTGGCAAGGAGGACCTCTCCCTGCTCAGATCTGCTCCCTCCAGCTACTCCGAGAGCCTCGAGGCGAGGCGAGAGGTGGCAGTGGAGCAGCCCCTTATTAAGGAGCTTCCTGTTTGTTTGAACGGTGTTTTCTCTGGGATATAAATAAATGTTTCTCCTGTAGCCCTCCAGGTTTTGCACGTTCAGACACCCTCCCCAGTGTGCTTGGGACAGACGTGACCCTGGCAGTCACATAAAGTCTCAAGAGGGGAGGCCATGTCCTGGAAGGGGATGGCCCATTTGGCCATTGTCCAGAAAAGGGCAGTTTCCAGTCCAGCAGCCTTTGGTTTGCAATCAGGTCACGCAGGGTTCTAGAAAAAGGGCAGTGATGTGTGAACAAGCTCACGAGAAGCATCCTGCATTAAAAACAAAAAACAAAAAAAACTGAGCAGCTGGAGAAGGGCCACCCTGACTTGCTGTTTGGAGGTGCTCCGCCTACCACGGCCTCCCCCGATACCATCTGAGGCTGGCCCAGCCCTCCAGAGCAGGGGACTACAAGGCACAGAGGGAGCCACGGCAGTGAGGGCTGAGGTGGAGAACAGACCTGGCTGAGCGTGTGCTTGGCCGCGCACTCCCATCCCTTTATTTGTGCTCACAGGAGAGTCACACTGAGCTAGTGGCTAAACTAGACAACTTGTAGAGCCATGGTTGGAGAACATACTCCTGCTGTGAGCAGAGTGGTGGGCGGCTTCCCCCATGTGCATTTGGCGAGGTGCTGGTCATTTCTGGAGTCTGGATTCCATCCCAAGGCCTGCAGCTTTGCTTGCATCAGGCTGCCGGCCTCTCTTGCCTGGCCTCCTCTCTAGGAAGCCCCCTTCATTCTCATGTAGTCGCTCTGTGTTCCCCCTCCCCCCGGCAGGTGCCCGCAGCAGCCTCCCCAGCTGGACCCCACAGCATTTCACCAGGCCTTCTCTGTGTCAGCTCTGTTCTCTGCACTCCCTCCTCAACCTGGCAAGATGGCTCCTGCTCTTTCCATTTCATAAAAAATAAGATGGCAGCTAAGGGAGATTAAAACATGTGCCCACAGGTCCCAGTTCAAGCCATGACAGAGGTGGGATTCAAAGCCTGGTCCATCTGACATCAGACCTTTTCACCACAGCCTCTGCCTTTGCGTTGACAGCCAGTTTGTTTTCCTTTATTGTTTTTCCTATTGTTAATCACATCTTTCCCCCTCTTATCACGTCTACTCAGACCATCTCCATCATGCAAACTAGTGATTGGAAAATATTTTCTCCCCAAGTCCTGGCTCAGTCATTGACCAACAGAGAGCGTTTCATGTCCTTTAAGATGAGGCCCCCTGTCCCTTTAGCCTTTTGGTGGAGCTTTGCTTTTTATAAAGTGTGCTCTTCTTTCATCTTCAAAGCAAACCATGAAACAGGCATATGTGGTGTTATACCCATTTTACAGGTGAGAAAATGGATGTCAGGGATGTTAGGAACATTCTTGCACTCTTGGAAGCCAACCTTAAGGACCTGGGGAAAAACAGGCTCCCTAGCCCATGGGCCCTGGCTTTAGCTCGGAGCCCTGCCTCTAACACCTGTGTTTATGGGGTGCCAGACACTATTTCAGGAGCCGGGAAGAGACAAGGCTGCCGCAGATACCGCAGGCTTCTAGCTCCTGGCCACCTCCAGCTGGCCTCTTACATTTGACCTCTAGGTGGCTGTGGAAAAGAGCATTTCCAAGAGAAGCTTCTCATCTCCAATATAGCTTTAGCCGTCACTACAGTTTACTCTGAATTTTCAGTCTGGTGTGGATACCTGTGGCTTGTGTACTTGGACTGGAGGTCGCTCCAGTCTCCTCCCCCTCAGCCCTCTACTAGCCCCACTGACGAGGAAAGCTTGTCCTCCTCTTGTGCCATCCTCCTTGGGAGGTGCTCCTGACAGCCCACGGGCCGGGCAGAGAAGAGGTGAGGGGGCACTGGGTGGTCCCTGGGAGGTACCCCAGCAGACAGCATCCAGAGGGGAGAGAAAGGCTTTTGGGAGGGGAGGCAAGCCTTAGCCAAGGCCTGTCTTTTTGCCCCTTCTTCCACATTCTGTGGGTCATAGCAAAGGCAAATCTTGATTGTGTCAAACTCTACACCATATAAAATGAAGGCCTAAAAGATACCTGAAGCATCCAGAAAATTTTTCAGTCACAGTAGTCACAGTGGAAGCAGAAGCAACTCCTTTTCAAATAGCCAATTGTCACTTCTATACTCTTCTCAAATGGAACTCTGGTAGACAAACTAAGAAATGTAGTCAAATGTAGTTTCTCAGCTGGTGAAAGGAAATTAGATCCTGTGTCACTGTCAGTGGGTGAGGTTCACAAGCTGTCTGGGTTTTAGTTGGGGTTTCTAACATTTGGAGTAAACTCCACTTTCTAAACTAAACTCCACTTCCCACACCTGCCATTGCACCGGAAAACCTCAGAGATTAGCTACCCCAGATGTATGTTTGTAGGTGCAGGATTTACAATACCCCTGGTAGGAACCTTGAAGTCATACCTCTGCTGATGCTCTGTCTGGACAACCTCAGTCTAGCCTGACCTGGGTCTGGTAGGAGATAGCTCTTGTCTTCATGTGACAGATGAGTCACTGAGCCATTGGGAGAGGGCCTAGTCCTTAGGGACAGACGTGAGAGAAAAATCCAAACCTCCCAGCCAAATTCTAGAACCCACACTCATAGCATTTAACCCCTGTGCTCTGAAACTTGGTGAGATGGGAAGTCAGGGAGATTATGGCTGAAACAAACATTTCCAATACTCTTCCTTGGATTTGGACCATGGATTACCTGGGCAGTGCCCATCCCTCATGTGTGTCTGGGAATCCCCAGCACAGTGAAAAATATTACTATATTTTGAAATAACATTTCCTGAAAAACTCTTTAAGTGGGAAGCCTGATATTCAGATAATTAACTCTGATATTTGTATTAAAAATACGTCCATGAAAAGAACAATGTTAGAAATATTGTCAGTAATGTGATTAATGAAAACCTGCATGTACTTTTACACTGTTTTCTACTCAAAAGACATTTATTGTTTCTCAGTTGTGGAAATAATTAATAGCACCACTTCCAAAAAACATGTATCCGATGATGTAATAAGTATAGGCTGACACAGAGTCCGTACTGCAGCAAGTTTCCTTCTGTTTCCTGTGGATTTCTCTAACTCCATCCCTGGATGTGGAAATTGCAGCCTGCAAACCATATTAAGTTTCATACCAAATCTTGTTTGAACCACTTTTAGCAGCAGCTGCATAGAGGAAGGAAATTGTGTCCCTTTATTATAGAATTTGAACTTCTTAACAGAAAAAAAAATCAAATTTAGAGCCTCCAGATTGAAAAACAAAATAGATTCAAAGAAAAGCATGAAAGATTCAAACCTCATGAGGCAGAATTGATTCTTTTTGAAGTTTCCTTGATAGAGGAAAAAGGCCATTGTTTTTGCTTACAAGCTTAGAATTAAAAACAAAAACAAAGAGTCCGCATGCTCTAAGGTCCCTTAACAGTGTTTCGGTCCCCTTAGGACTGAGCTGGTGTCCCATACAGCATTACCAAGTGAGTGGCTCCGACCAGTTCTGTTGGAACAAGCTGGAGAGGGCCACGGGGTGTAGGAAGCTGGCAGGACCGCGCAGGAGGCCGGTGCCTGGCCCTTGCCGTGTTCCCTTCAAGGCCGGCTTCTCCAGCTCAGGGACACTGGCGGGGCTGCAGCTCTGGCCCAGCCTGTGACCTCACAACACTTCTTCCTCATCTATTAAATAGGGACATGAGCCACCCGATTTCTCTTCAAGGCCTATTCCAGGAACACAAATGAGGCCATGGCCATGACCACCCTTTGAAAAGTAGGGGTCGGGGCTCTTGAATATGGCTGCACACGAGAACCACCTGGAGGGCTTTGAAAAATGTTGAGTGTCCCGAATTCTGACTTCTTTGGTCTGGAGCTGGACCTAAGCCTCAGAGGTTTTTTCAAAATGCCCCAGGTGCTCTTCCTGTGCAGCCAAGGTGGGGGAAGTGCTGATGTGGAGCGTGGGTTCTAAGGCTTTGCCTCCCAGAAAGCCAGGTTTCCTGCTTACAAGTGGATGGAGAACCTGACTTGGAGTTTTCTTTTCTTTTTTTTTTTTTTTAATCTTATAATGACACAAAAGAGGCTAAAATCAGCCCGGTTCTCTGGGTGTGCTGCTTGCCAGGTTTTCGATGTGGCTTACTAAAAGGAATCCAGCCCGGCTGAGCCAGCAGGTGGAGGCATGGTTGTCCTGGGAGAGCGGCAGAGAGCACCCAGAACGCACCCAAGGGCTGACTGCATTTCTAGTCGGGATTGCTAGATACTGTTCCCTTGCCCTGCCCACCCTCCAACAACTGACATCTGTAGCTATGTTTTGCAGTGATTCTGGACGTGGGAGCAGCCTCTTAGACAGAACCATTGCTGACAGACGACAGCTTAATACAATTACTTTGCCAGACTTCAGCGATCCTGAGACAGGTGAGAATAAAAAGCCAGAGGGGACGAAATGGTGGCAAGGAGAAGGGGGGCCTGGCCCTGAGTGATGTGGGGTGCAGACTGCCAGGGACCAGGCTTGGAAAAACTCCTCACGCAGAGAGTGACCCTCTCCACAGAGGTGCGTTTTCTCCAGCATCTCTCAGATGTGTGCTTCTAGTGGCGGGCACTGTGCCTGCCCCAGACTCTGAGATCTTTCCATTTCTCCCCTGGCTCCTGAGCCTCAAATGTAAAACTAGAATTAGGTTGTTTCTATCTCTGTGAGGTTTCCCTGGGCTCCTCTGTTTCTCCCTCACACAGATTTCAAGAACCTGCTGTATGCAGGGTTATGGTTTCTGATCACACACGTGCACGCTGTGCCCTCAGCGTAAAATCCCTGTGGGGGACCGGTGGCTCTGAGCCGCCAACCCTCTTTCCCCTCTGAGCCGCCAACCCTCTTTCCCCACGGGTAGGCCCATAGCACTGACTGCTTCTGAGCAAATATTTACACCTCGTTGTGGTTTGTGTCTCCACATTTGCCTGAATACAGAAGAGTAAACAGAACACTCTAATTTCTCAAACTCCAAACAAGCAATTCCGGTAGTAATACAGCTATCCAAGGACAGCTTGAGGGCTTGACCGACACACAGGTCTGATGAAATTCACTCAGCTTCGAGCCAGGAAGGTCAGTTGGGGCATCGGCTGAGACCTGACTCAGTTGCCCCCGCCACCCCTAACCGCAGGGGCCTGTGCCAGGCCTGATCCCTCTCTGGGGATGCCTGGCCTTTTATGGGCTGGCTTCAAGGAAGGAGCCTTCAGGTCCTGCTGCCCTGTGTCTAGTCCCAGCCCCTGATCAAGCCCTTGCAGAAAAAAAAAAAAAGCCACAGAGCCACCCTGAGGCTTGCCCAGCCACTGCTGGGAGGGACTGCAGGGTCTCTGGACCCAACAGTACTTGCCTAAGACCATCCTCCCAGCTGCTTGCAGATTGCATCACTGTGGGGGCTTGCTTTGACCAAATTCAAAGTGGGCTTCAGAAATCTGATCCAGGGCCCCAGCACTCGTAGGTGAAAAGTGGGCTAGGCATTGGAACTAGCATGAGATGTAAGTTAGTGTACTACTCAGAATGCAGACTGGTTAAACCTTAGGGAAATTCACCACCTGACTGGCCTGACCCCAACTGGTCTGCCATCTTTGGGGACTGAGACTTTGGTGGAGCAGCACAACACAGTGCTTCTTGGGGTCCAGTCCTTTAGAAGATCTGCCTAATCCCCGCACTGCAGGAAGGGGACTGCCTGTGCAAGACAAGTCTTGGGCTCTCAGGAGAGATGAGAAGGGGGTGAAGCCCCTGATGGTACCAGCAGCAATCTGGGCTGACCCCTCTCCCCAGGATCCTGAAAGGACTGTCATGTAAATTCAGACTCCCTTTCCTTCCAGCTGACCTGGACCTCCATTGTCCCTTAGTCCCAAGACTTCATTCCTCAATCACACTGAAAGCATACAGTGGCAGAAAATAAGTGAGGCCCCAGCCATTCATGCTCCCTTTGGCCCCTTAGGATATTTTCCCTAGAGCCCTTGGGCATCTCCCTCTGCAGGTTAAAGCTTCTCAGATGACACAGCACCCGGGTGAGGTGTATGTGTGTGGCACAGTCCGGGGGTTGATGCCCCCCTTCTCGGTGTTTATGCATCTGCTCTCACGCGGGAACCCAGGCGGTTGGAGTCTAGATGGCTGGTGCATGAACACTTGGAGAAAACACAGCCTCCAGACACTGGCCAATGATCATCTTATTATTATTGCACTGGCCACAGGAATCTCTTCAGGACTCCTGCCACCAACCCCACCCCTGCCCCCCAGAACTGCAAAATGTTGGGCTACACACCAGCATATACTTACCTAGGAGGCCAGGATCTCAGAAAAATGGAAGCCATGTCAGCAGGCCTTATCAGTGGCAGACTAGCTGTGAATGACATGATGATATAAATCAAAGAGACTTAGCAATTAGGAAGACATCCCTAAAAATGGCCAAGACACTTCCATCTTGGTTACTAAGGCCCAGTTGTCTGTCCTTCAACTCACCAGGGGTCACCAGGGGGCTGGCAGGTTCCACCCACGTCAATGGCCTGTCTTGGGATAAACCTCAGGCTTTAATTCTAACTCAACTTCCCATGGAGAAGTTTTGTTTGCTTCCATCTCTGCCCCTCCATCTTAACTTTCCCTGAGGCTGACCATTTTTATTAGCTTTTTGTTTACCCTTCCAGTGTTTTTTCATGCAATAAGCATAGGTGTTATTTCCCAGGCTCCCTTCCCTGAAAAATAGCATTCTGCCCACACCGTTCAGCGCCTGGCATCTCTCACTTCACAACAGACCCCTCCATTTCCATCCACAGAAAATGCAGCATCGTAGGGTTCCATGACACTCATTTTACAGCCTGGATTCTTCCCCCCAGCACAGTCCCAGCCAGCTTCCTTCCTCTCCAGCCCACGGGTGCTGAAGGAGGCTAATTTTGAGTCTCTACTGCAGCATGGCTCACTTAGGAAGGCAGCCAGGCGACAGGGAAGAGAGAAAGGAAACCTCTGCAGTGAAAATGGCCCCAGATCAGAACAGAAGTGGCTCCTTTGGGAAGCTTCAGTAACACATGGTCCTCTTGGGTCAATTGTTTTTGGTTTACCAAAACAAATTTATTTTTTTTAATGGGAAATTTTCAAATACTGAGAGGAATACTGATATAATGAATCCCACCTCCCTCCACCAACCGTCAATGATTAGTATTTTTTTTTTTCATTTATGTCTCCTACTGCCCCCACTTGGCTTATGTAGACTATTTTGAAGCAAATCCCATACATCATATTTTGCTTGTTAAAATTTCAGTATATGTGTCTAACAGTTAAGAACTTTAAAAAATAAATAACTACAGCATCATTGTTTTACATCTGGGCCAGTAAACAGCGACCTTGGTGTTTTTGGTGTGGGCAGTGTTTAATTAACCCCAAAGTGGTTTTTTATCTCTGAAATTATCCAAATGCACATCTGTGGAATAACCTCAGGGGAACCCACATCCATAAGCTATGGACTGGCCATGGCAGCCAGAATGGACACTGGTTTTCTTAGTGAACACAGCAAGTTGAAGAAGTCCCCCTGAACATGATCTCCTTCTAATAATCACCTCTGGCTCCCCTTCCCCCCATCACTGTTACCTAATAGGTCCCAACATCGAAAAGAGACATCAAATGGAGTGACAGTCTTAACTGGGAAGCTATGAATCATTGTCTTTTTCATTGGAATTAGTTGGTAGTTCCTTCCATAAAGGATCAAAAAAAAATTCATTCTGTAGCCTTCAAAATAGTATGTAGAGCAAGGGCATTTATTTTTAATCACCAGTAGGTATTACTGGACACTTATCCAAAGCAAAAAAAAAAAAAAAAAGGCCTGGTCCACATTCTGGGGAAAAATTGTTGCTATGGTGGTCTCCCTAGTGCTATGTGTTCTCCCAGCTGTGAGTTGTGAAGGTAGCAGAACTGCACTGGGACACTTGTCACACCCCTGTACCTGCAACAGGAGAGGCTTAGTGTTCAAGCAAACTCATAAAAAGAAATCTAGGAAAAGTCACTTTCTACCCCTTTTCAACTGAAGAGCAAATAGTCTCTTCTAGAATGTGCTAGAATTTGTAGTTGAGAATTATCATTCAGTGGATCATACTGCAGAATATGTGCCCAGGTAAATCTGAGTTATTTTTATTCCATGGTGTTGATACACAACGATAAATGAACAAATAACCACTGGAAAAACAAGTTTGTTTTCTTCGAAAAGCACTTGTATTCTATTGTCAAGTAGAGGAATGAATGTGTATTACATGACCTCATTTTCTTTGCAGCTTATGTGAGTATATTAAAAGCTAGTTTATTTTTTGTGTTTCTAAAGTTTTTTTTTGCCTTTATCCTTTTTTTTTTCTCTTTCACTTTTTTAGTGTCAGATTCCTCCTCCTCCTCCTCTTCTCTTTCAAGAACCGAATCTCCTCTCCACCTGTTTGTGTCTTCTCATCTCCATTCTCACCCCAAACCCGACATCTTTGTGTGGTCCCCTGCAGCTCATTCATTCAGTGACCCCGGGCCCCGCCAGGAACCCTCTCTGTGTAAACATGGTTTATGGTTTTTTCCTTTCTTGTTAGATCTGCTTCTTTGCCTGATGTTTATTTTCTGATAATCTTCCTAACTGATAAGCTGGATAGGAAACGCCATCAAATTTATCAGAGGGGAAAAAAAAATCTGGCTAATTTGGAAATCCAAAATCTGCTTGGGGCAGGAGACCTGAATTTGTACCCATCGGTGCCCAAGTTCCCAGCTCCATTTTGAAAAATAAAGGAAATCTGTTTTGAGCAGACTGTTGCTCACTATTCTAGAATATTGCTTCTAGATCTCAGATACTTTTGTTCTTTCCTGGAGTTGATGTGAAGCATACAATTCCTATTTTTGCATACAATTCCTATTTTTACAAAAGGCAAGTTATAACATTGTACAAGTAATAATTTATTACTAAATATTTCTGGTATTCAATTTAGAAATTAATTCAACAAGCATATCATTGCCAAGCTAGTATCCTGAAGGTAATTGTATTCCCGCTACAGCCACGGACACACATCCCAGGGTTGGGCCCGGGATCCGGGATTTATGAAATAGCCCTTCATGATTCCAGTGCCAGTGGGTTATGTGCTACATTTTAAGAAACACTGCTAGAAATTATTTTTCTTTTTCAAGGAGGGAAAAAGTAGAATTTGTGTCATGAAATTAGGCAGGGACCCTGAACAGTATTTTAATCTAATCTTGCTTTTAAATAATACAAACATTTTGAAAGTCTACTTGAGGATGTTCAGGTCTCTGGCAATGAAATTTAAAAAAAAAAAAAAAGATCCCTGTATTAAAATGTAACTCTGGTTGTAAAGTCCTTAAATAGGACCTAAATATGGCCTCACTGGGGAGTCCACCCTTCTCTTCTTTCACTCATTTATTTAATGTTGACTTTACTGACAGCATTGCCAGCAAATTTAAGCTCTGTATCCATGATTTATAAGGGCTCATCTTTATCCCAAATGCTCACCCATTTGCTGAACAAAAGCTCCCAAGGGGAGGAGCTGCCAGAAAGAATCCCAGCTCCGCAGACCTCATCTTTCAAGTGCAAGCCTGTGTGTTTAGCGCTTACACCTTGGCAGCACCGAAGTGAGGTTATCAGCGGAAGTAAATCATTCAAGTCAAACCAAGAATCACTCTGACCTTACTTATTTGCACATTAAGTCTTCTGAACTGTGCATAAATCCGGCCATCCCAGATTTATGGAATGGAAGATCAAAATAATGTTTATAAACTGCTTATGTTGTTTTTAAGCCACTTCTTAAAATAAATGTTTTCACTTAATACAATGCCTCGGGGCAATCACCAACTTAGGATGCTCCAGAAAAAATAATTTTTACATTGGCTTTTGCCCAGGGATTTTTTTGTCTTAAGAAGGGATCTTCCTGTCCTGGAATAAGGTCATATGTTCCCACTGACCCTGTACAACGACTCCATCTCCCTCCCAGCCTTGCTAGTGTGGGTGGGGTTCCCTGAAGCCTTGTGTTCTTTGAAGGTTGGAGACCTGACTTTTCGATGAGGCACTTGCTATCCAATTAATTAGTAGATTGTTAGGGTACACATCAACCCACTGGGCTTCTGCTGATGATGCAGTGTTCAATTATTTGACCTCCACGAAGCTTTGAATTCTCAGGGAATGCCCTGTCAGTAGAACCAAGTGTTCTAAGATGGAAACACCTAAGCATCTTCCCCCCCCCCCCATAGATACAAAATTTACAGAAGTGGAAAACATACCATATATGACCGACACATGTAGAATTTCTTCATTAAACTAGTAGCTAATTTGAATCCCACTCTTTCTGATAGTACAGAAGAACAGATAGCCAGACCTGAAGTTTTTGAATGTCTCCCTCCAATCCTTTGACTTCATAGGGATGAAAACTAGCCCAACCCTACAAAACTCATGGAATCATGATTAGGGGTAATAGTTGGGAAGATTTGAAAACTACTTCTTTGATTATTTTTCTCTTCCTTTTGGAATTTCCTGCCCTAGAAACAAAACATGAGATGAATTAGTCTGTTTTCATGTGCTGGGTGAGCCTTTAAACAGAGGGGAATGCCCAGTTGGCCTTTCTTTGGTTAAAAAAAAAAGAAAGAAAAATCTTTGTTAGTGGAAAACATGTGTCATTCTTGACTCGAGGTCTCATTCCAGACAGCCAGACTTACAGTTGGAAGATTATTAGAACCCTCTTTGCTTTTTTAGCCTTAATTTTGATTTTTCAAATGTTTTGTTTCTTGGTTTTAATTTTTGGTTTGATTTGTTGTTCCAAGGCAACTCTCCAGAAGCATTCTTTCATGGTTTTCCCTCCCTATTTTCAGTTAGTAAGTAGCTTACCAATCTCTCTATTAACCTTTCGGAGGGCCTCCAGAGCCACGCTTCCTTGCACCACGGAGCGTGTGTCGTGATTATTGGTTGTTGGGAATGTTGACATGGTGTGGACGTTGAGCTGTGGCCTGCTTGCCCACCCTGCCCCCTGCGGTCACCTCTCCCGAGATTCTAACGCGTTTCACCACCGCTTGGGTTCGAGTGCTGAGGAGGCAGTACCGGTCTGGGAAGGACTACAGTGGAAGGCACTGCAGGAAAAGCTCCCCAGCTGGGTCATCTGTAAATTTTCAGGAGAGGGAACCAGTTGAATCTTGAGATTCCTTTCTAGTTCACCATTATTGCTACATAGAAAAGCAACTTGAATAATTTTCCAAAAAGGAATCAAATAAACATTAACCATAAACTAGACCTACCAAAATATAAGGGACACTAAGCAGTCCTCTGGCTGGAGGACCCAGGGTGCGGGGGTATTTTTTGAGGCATGCGTGAATTAGCCCATTTTCCCAAAGGCTGTTCCTTTGCCCGCTGATTCTCTCGGGTCAAATATTTTTGGGAAATGTCAATAGTACTTCTCCCTCTTAGAGAGTCACAGTTCAAATTAGTGCCTAAAGGCTCTGAGAAGTGCTGAAACTTAAAAAATTCAAGACTCTCTTAACTTTTGAGTCCATGTTCCCAAGCTGATTCCATCATTTCCTCCCACTTCGGAATCAGTGTCCCATGGACAACACTTTGGGAAACACGGCGTCAGGTATGGCAACGCTGTGAATTCGAGTCATCTGAGCCCTACTGCCTGCGGGAAACGCACCCCTCATGGGATTGATGTCCCCTCTGAAGTCCAGCGTGGCCTAGATGAGACCTTATTTCTGGCTCTAAAAAGTCTGCAGTAGGAAAGAGACATGTTTGGTATTGTCATCACATTAGGGTTCTTCAGGGAAAAGAGGTTTCCCTGCCAGGGTCCTTTTAGCTCTTTAGGTACATTAAAAAGGTTTGATTTTCAGAAAGTCGGGTTACATTTAAATCTTCAAACAGCCCTTAGTTAAAGTGAGGTTCGACGCGGTTATACAAGCGTCTTCACTATTTCCATAGAAACAGTTCCCACCCTCAGAGGTCAGGAAACCAGGGTGCCAGGGTCAGCTCTACAGAGAAGTCCAAGCAACTCACTTGAACTCTCCTTGGGCCTTGGTTTCCTCACCTGCAAAAACAGAGGTTGGCTTGTTACAGTCAGAGGATGCTTGACGACACTGTGGCCAGCGAGAGAGGCCAGACAAAAAAACCAGTGTTCCCCAAATTCCGTTACCTAGTGATGTCATAGCACAGACTGTGAGTGCCCTGCAGAGGCAGTAAGAAGTCCAGCCGCCCCGGCTCCTCTTGCACCACGCCCTCCTGAATGGCTGTGCCAGAGGATGGAGGATCACACACCCTCCGTGACACCTGCCCCAGCCCTGCCCTTCTGAAGGAACACGGGCACCCCCATTTGTGTGCTCTGCCCATCATCACTTTGGAGGAGACTGTGGCACTGTTACTCTCTCTTCCCCAAGAACGAGCTAAAATCAGGACTGCATCTGGGCTACCTGGCTCTATCGTGTCACTAGTTCTGTTCTCTTCAGAAATGCAAAACGGGGAGAAGAGAATAAACAGGTCAATGAAAACACTCACCTCCCAAATGAAATAAGCTTCACAAATAGACCCAAGGTAGTACTATTTTCTCTTCCCATCATGGCTAGCTAGCATTTTCTAATATTCAAAAATGTATATAATAATTAGGAAGGGCCTGGCCAGTTAGCTGCTGTATTTCGCCTCTGCTTTTCCTTGATACAACAATTTCTCTTTTTTAATCTACATATGAAAAAGTTACTTCCATGGTAAACCCCCACTGCTTTTGGTGGATGACAATTTAAAAAGTCCAGCCCTAGTGATTCAAGTGTGACCTTTTCTTGCTGTTTTAATTTAATTCAAATTAATTTCATGAAATTGGCCTTGATCTGCCCTGTGGCCTTTAAACAAGAGTGAGTGGGTTTTAGGAGACGGACAAGTCAATGGTGGACAAAATGGGATTTTAGGAGATGAACAATTCTGCACTCAGGTCCAAGCGATATGTGTCCGGCAATTAGAAATCGCCCAAACCTGGGAGGCTTTTTCTACGTGCCCCTTCCGAGGCCCACACGTCCTCCTGCAGATGGAAGGGGCTTCAGTCTGGAGAAAGACAGGCTTAGTGAATGCTCAGGGTAGGGTGAGGACAGAGCACAAATGCCCAAGTGTAGTCCTCCAGCAGGTACTGTCTCTAGCCTGAGCTCAGCGCTCCTCTGACCACTGGCGCGTCCCGCATGCGTGTGACCAGCTTCCCTTCACGTGGTCCTCGCGACAGCTGGCCTGCCCACCCCGCATGCCCACCGGCGACCATCAGCCCGGGCTCTCCCTGCCTTCCCAAAAGCTTGCCCTGGAAAGAACTTTCCCCTTTCTGCAGAAGACACATTTCGTCAGGTCTCAGCTGTGCTTAGCAGTCTGTTAAAGTCGTTTGGAAATTGTGATCTCGTCTTGGGGCCTTGGGTGTGGCTGTCCTGATGTACTTGGTGTCTCAATCTCTTTTTCACTCAGTGAAAAAGGGGAGTATCTGACTAGAATGGTGACCGAGGTGTCTGTCAGAAGAGCCCACCAGCAGGAGGCCTGGAGGTCACTGGGAGTTGGGTGGGACCAGGGCGTCCCTGACAGCCCCCGCAGCCGCACCTGCTCAGCTGGTGGCTTGCACCTGAGAGGGAGGTGGCAGCTCTCAGGGAATCAGCCTCCTCAGAAAAGCGGGGCCACCACCCTGACAAAGACAGGGATTGCCCTAAGGGGCGGGGGGGTTGCCACCAAAATTTTTTTTTAATGGTAAATACAGAAAATGGTCTAATATGAGGCTTGAAGTATGAGAGGAGTCACCTGTCTCCTCCCCATTCAGAAACTAAGGGACAGGCTTGATGGGCTCCTCAGCCCCCTCCCTTGGGATCTCGAGGCCAGGCAGCAGGTGTGAGGAGGTTGCAGGCAGCCAGCAGTTTGCAGCACTGGCTGATTTGCTTTCAAGCCCTGTCATGAGAAATTCTTCTGTTAAACATGAAACACTGAAGCAGCTCTCTGGCAGAATGCTTAGTCATCCCCATGGCGGTTTAGGATTCAGGGTCTTTAAGAGGTAGAACTGCCACTTTTTTCCCCTTAATTGTTTTGGGGGCACTGCTTCTAAGAAAGGGAAGTGGAATAAACTCTATTGACAGATAATGTTGCATCATTTCGGGACTGAGGGGAATAGTGCACAGTCATTGCCGTGGTGATCCCTGTGTGCTGGGGCCTAGAGAGGCTCCACTTCCTCAGGAAGATGCAGGGAGGCAGGTATCTGAGAATGTGGGTGTCGAGCAGAGAAATGGGCCGTGGGGTACAGCCACATGCTCTGTCATGCTCCCTTCTTCATGCACATGAGACCTCTGGGTTAATTCTCTGGGACTGAGAGACCAGAGTAAACACGAGTGGCCATGTCTACTGATGTGCCTTTGGTGGAGACTTCTTCACACCTCACCTAACACGGCCGTCCTTGTTCCTGGGCCCTGGTGCTTGCCACCTCTACGGGCCGGCAGGGTTTCATCTGAAATCTAGTTCATCTCCTACAAGTTTTGAAGACAGGAGCGGAGAGGGGAGGTGGGGGTCCCTCCGACTAGGGCCACTGGTTACCTAATGCCACCAGAACAGTCAAAGGATGGCTGGAATGTGAATATAGGCCACGAATTCAGTGACTGGCTTGTGAAGAGAGAGTCATCAACCCAACCAAGCCACGTAACTTATTGTGCCTTTTTCTTAAGAAAATGATCAACTGAGATTCCTTTTGCTGGTAAATGAGGGTTCATCTGTGATCACCACATTTGAGGTCGATGTGAAATTCACCACAGGTGTTGTACTTTGGAAAAAGGATTTTTGGAAAGATTTGAACTTTAAAGGCAACTCCAGCTGGCTGTGACAGTGTCCTACTTAGGCGGTTTCTCGGCAGCTTCAGCTTATGCTAGCGTGTGGGTCAGAATCCTGGAAGGCTTCCTGAGTCAGTGGCCTTGGCTCCTGGTCCTCCGGACCTCGGGGGATGCCTCTCCATTTCCTTCCCCCTCTTAGACCCCCATATACATGGTGGTCCCAGGAAAACCCAGATGAACACCCCGGTTCTTCCAGGGACACTTTCCCTTGTATCAGGTGTCCAAGAGGGCATTTTCTCTTGGGCTCAGGGTGGGAGGAACAGAAAGCAGTCAGCTGGAGGAAATACCGCACTCAGCTCCAGGGCAGCTCCTGCCCCCTGGACCATTTGGGCAATTAGGTCACTGAACTGGGGTCCGATTTTAGGGCGTGCTCACACCTGCCTGTGACAGCTTTTGGTTGAGTTGGTTTGCAGCGGCTTTGCCCTGTGATTCAGGAACACGGTGGACAGCTGCTGCTCAGCCCTCGGGGTTGCTACAGCGATAAGTGCTTCTTGAATTAACATGATAAATAAGACATGCACAACAGCCGGGCACTTTCCCCGGGCTGCCTGTCGAACCTGATTATTTGCAGGCTTATTTTCCAGAGTCTGGATTTCAAATTGGAAATAAGTCTTAAGTTCTTCCCTCTAATTCCTTTTTTCAAGCTTCCATTTGCCCATTTCGGGCAGTAATCCTGTTCACCCTACATACACATTAGGAACACATTTGCTTTGGTAAGAAAAAGAAAAGGTGCTTTAAAAACATGTTGGTTAGAACTAGCATTTCTAGTTGTTTATCTCCGTAAGTCAAAACCCAATATCTGTGTTGGTGCCTAACCATTTCAGTCTTAAGAAACAGTAAGATACAATTATTTTGATTGATTTTTTAAATCAGATATTGCCATTCTGAATCACAATAATTGTCCTTTTTCCTCCAAATTTCACCTAATCCAGTAGAATAATTTGAATAGTCATAGCTGATATTAAATGTTGAATAATTGTACCAATACTGTTAGTCACCTGCTGTTATTAAATATCTGAATCCTCTAATATTCCTAGTTCAGTATAGAAAGGGTCTGTGCTCTTGTGAATGTGTATAAGAAGGGATTGGCTAGGTAGGAAAAAATTACCTCTGATAAACCTTAGTCACCCTCCATATGTAAGTGGGGGGTTATATACATGATGGGGGTGTCACTCATGGAGGTACATGTGCTGCTACATGGCAGCCACACTGAGGAAGCCTTGAAACAGTGGCTTCTGAGCCAACGGTTAATGAAGGAGGGTAGAACATACAGATGTGCCCCCAAAAGGGACCACTCTCTTCCAAACTTCATACAGTGACAGAGTGACTGGCGGAAGTCAGCCAGCCAGTTCACGAGCACTCACCAGCTGCAGTGAGCCTAGTACTGTCAGTCCCTGAAAATGCCTAAATGGAAGACCTGGCTTCCCTATTCTAGGAGAGAGACAGCTGCCTCCACTGTAACAGAACTGTGTGGCCTGTGCAGTGGTGACCTCCCCACAGGGTGTTGGAGCACTGGTCTGGCTTTATAGGGGAGCACAGGGAGAAGGGACTGAAGACCCACAGCAGCCTGCCAGAGGGGAGTCAAGAGGCCAGATTTGGGTCAGGTTGGAGCTTGAGTCTTGCTTTGTCCCCTGCAGGGCTGTAGACTTTGGGTCAGTTACATAACTTTATTAAATCTCATTTATGGCATCTAAACAGCACAGACAACGTGTTAAAGATTAAATGACATAACACTTGAGGCACTGGGACAGGTGTGTTGTCTAAGCAGGTGACCACCACTGCCGTCACCACCACCACCATGTGCCAGATCTTCTTCACAGGAAACATTATGTGGAGAATTAATTAAAGGAGAAGGAATTTGCCAGTAGTTCTGATTCATGTGTTGGTGGACCACATAAAATAGTTCACTCAAAAAGTAAAATTAGCTCCTCCAAAAGTCAGATACTAACTATCTCCTTGTAGCAAAGGAACCATGGAACCTCATAGAAAAACCTAGTAGAACCTAGAAGAATTTTTCCACAGCAGTGGATTGTTGTCATTTTTAAATGAATTAATAACTATTTTAACTATGTCTCAGTTTTGATTTCTAATGTGTTAAATATACAATCCATGTAAACAGACTCCCTTTAGGGCTCTTAGTAACTTTTTGGAGTCTAAAGGGCTTCTGAGACCCAGAGTTTCAGAACCACTGTTCTAAAGAACAAGATCTTCTTGGAACTCTGCCCCCCAGATCCTTGGGCGGCAAGGTAGGAGCGGTCCAGTGGCTGGCAAGTGGAGACTGAGCCGAAGGGTTTCCTTGACTAGAT